TATATATATACATATATACACACACACACATATATATAGCTGAATCACTTTGCTGTATACCTGAAACTAACACAATATTGTGTATCAGCTACACTTCAATTTTTAAAAATCTTTGATAATTAGAAAGGTGAAAATAGCTTTTCTTTCTTTTATTTTAAATTCCTTTGGTTACTAGTATATTTGAATGTTTAAAATTATTTTTCTAAGGCACTTAACAGGGATGTTTGCATCTTCTTGTATTGTCCTATTGTAGATGGCTTATTGGATAGTATTCCATGTATCTAATTTCTATTGTTTCTAATCTAAAATTTCACAGGTATTTGTAAGATTAAGATGCATTTGACTTTATTTCAAGTGGGGTTTTGGGGGATAATGACAAAATTTTCAGGTGAATTTCAGTGCATTAATATCTGTGAAGCTGCTCTGAATGCTCAGAAAGAATAAAACAAAGGGGAGGGACTTCTGCTTCCAGAGAGATGGAGTGGCCATAGTTTCCCCTATTCCTCTTGCTAAGTACAACTAAACACCCTGGATATTATATATAAGACAAACGTAACAAGACGGAAAGGTGGAGAGAATAAGGTAGACCAGACAGGAGCCTTGAAACCTGAAGAACAACACGGTGGTGAGATCCCTGGATTTCTTTTTGCTTCGTGCAGCCCAGACCGCGTGCCAGAGAAGTGAGCAACCCAGAGACACCAACAGCACAGACAAAAAAAAAAAAAAAAAAAAAGCCTGCTCTCCCTGGTCAGAGGACGAGGAAAAGGCAAGATAGACACATTTAGAAAATAACTCTCTACTGTAGCCAGAAACCAAAGAGAAAACTGTGGCCATCCACCCCCACTCCAGCAAAAGCTGAGTGGGGAACCTTGACCTCCACCCTCTCCAGTCGCCCCAGCACACCCACCAGGCTGATGGCAAAGAAGGCTGAACAGGGAGCCAGACCTTTCATCCATGGCATCAGTGGAGTCCACGTGGGGAACACACACTCCCACCCACCCAGCAGTAATGAGCTGCCTGTCTTCTCCCTGCTGTGGTGGTGTTAGAGGGACCCTAGAGGAGAGTCAGGACTTGTGCCCAGAAAAAGGAGGGCACTTCCCCGCTCTGCCTTCTCCTCACCGTGGTGTCGTGTTGGCGGGGGCTACGGGGGAGCAGTCACGGGCACTCTTACCCTTTTCCCATTTGAGGGAGGTATCTATCAGTGGAGGCCTGGTGGGGAGCTGGGACACCCACCTCTGCCTGGCTGTAATACGGAGCCCTAGACTGTCCGTAGATGCTAGACTTGGCTTTCCCTGTGGATTTCACACTGGCCTAGCCAGCCCCACAATCACATGAGACAATTCCTTGCAATAAATCTCCTAATATGTATCTCCCACTAGTTCTGTTTCTCTGGTTGGATCCTAAACGATCCACATATTTTTCTGTTGTACAGTATGTTTCTTTTTTTTTTTTTTTATCTTTGGCTGTGTTGGGTCTTCGTTGCTGCATGCTGGCTTTCTCTAGTTGCGATGAGCGGGGGCTACTCTTCGTTGCGGTGCATGGGCTTCCCATTGCGGTGGCTTCCCTTGTTGCGGAGCCAGGGCTCTAGGTGTGCGCAGGCTCAGGAGTTGTGGCACACGGGCTCAGTAGTTGTGGCGTGTGGGCTTAGTTGCTCCATGGCATGTGGGATCTTCCCGGACCAGGGCTCGAACCTGTGTCCCCTGCATTGGCAGGCGGACTCTTAACCACTGCGCCACCAGGGAAGCCACACTGTATGTATTATAGTAGCTGTCTCTAACCCACTGTGGAGTGAAACCGAGCATACATAACAGATAAATAATACTCTTTGCATATTTTGCTAGTCTGCCCAAGAATAAGGTCCAACTGTCATGTGTTTCCCTCTTTCTTACACAACTACAACTCTAACATTTTCTGTTTTCATCTCTTCTCTTCTTCCCTCCTTGGTTCCATCCCCTCCATGCTCCAGTACATCTTTATCTCCTCACTATTTCTCTCCAAATACTCCGTTGGATTACCAAAAACCCATTTGACACTTCAATCCCTGTGACTTCCCACACTACTTCTCTCTTTCCCCTCACTGCCAAACTTCTTGCAAATGTATTCTATTTTCCCTTCTTCCATTTCCTCACTTCTTACCCACTATTACTTTGTTTCCATAAGTACTACTCTACTGAAACTCCATCCTCAAAGGAGATTAGCCATGAAGCTAACAAAGCTTAAATTTCACAGCCCAAATCTCATGGTTACGAAAGGGGAAGGGGAGGGAAGGGGAGGGAAGGGATAAATTAGGAGTTGGGGATTAACAGATATACACTACTGTACATAAAATAGATAAACAAGAACCTACTTATAGCACAGGGAACTATATCGTAATAACCTATAATGGAAAAGAATCTGAAACTAATACAATATTGTAAATCAACTACACTTCAATTAAAAAAAATTTTCACAGCCCGTCACTAGCACAAGCTCCTTCCAATGCCCATACCTAATTTTGTATCTGCAGTTTTGTATTCTTTTGCTTACACGATTCTCCAAATTGTATAAACTTAAGCCCCATAAACTTAGATGTGGCTCTCCTCACCATCCTTCTCCTCTCTGTGACAACCTGACCACACATACATCACTGATATCATTTCATCCTTAGGTCCCTGTGGTGCATCCCTCTCTTCCACTGTTCTTTCCTCTTCTCCTGCCATTCCCTAAATGAAGATGTGGTCTAACATTTGACCTCAACCTTGTTCTCCCTACATTATGCCTCTGTGAACTTATTAATTCATCTCATCCTTACATGACAACTCCCAAATTCAAACTTCCAGCACTGAGCTCTACCTCTCAAACATGGGCAAATAATTATGTGCTTCTTTTTTTAAGGGATCACTTGGAGCCCTTCTTTTTTAAAAATTTTTTAAAATAAATTTATTTATTTTAGGTTATGTTGGGTCTTCATTGCTGCGCACGGGCTTTCTCTAGTTGCGGCAAGCGGGGGCTGTTCTTCGTTGTGGTGCGCGGACTTCTCATTGCGGTGGCTCCTCTTGTTGCGGAGCACGGGCTCTAGGCGCACAAGCTTCAGTAGTTGCAGCACACAAGCTCAGCAGTCGTGGCTCGAGGGCTCTAGAGCGCAGGCTCAGTAGTTGTGGCACATGGGCTTAGTTGCTCCGCGGCATGTGGGATCTTCCCGGACCAGGGCTCGAACCCCTGTCCCCTGCATTGGCAAGTGGATTCTTAACCACTGCACCCCCGGGGATGTCCCATAATTATGCTCTTTTGAAAGTAATTGCCATGATAAAAACTTATTTTTTTATAAAGCTCATGAGCAAAAGATGAAATGGATAAAAAAGGAAAGAAGCATATGCTTGGCTCAGTCAGTATTAATCACTGGCATGCTCTTTCAGAAAAATTGAAGGAAGGCTGTCTTAGTAATCTATTGCTGAGCAACAAATTACCCCAAATTTAGTGGACTAAAACAACAACATTTATTATTTCAGTTTTTGCAGGACAGTAATCTGGGTGAGACTTAGCTGGGTCCTCTGCGTTAGGGTCTGTAGTCAAGGCTGCAGTCAAGGTCTTGGAGGGAGTTAGTTAGTCATTATCTCATGGCTCACGTGGGGAAGGCTCGGCTCCCTAGGTCCCTCGTGAGGTATTAGTGGGATTCAGTTCCTTGCAGGTTGTTGGACTGAGGGCCTCAGCGCCTCACTGGCTGTTTGGCTGGAGGTGACGCTCAGTTCCTTGCCATGTGGACCTCTCCATAAAGCACCTCACAACATGGTAGGTGGCTTCATCAGAGTGAACAAGTGGGAGGGCAAGAGAGATAGCACCCGCCAAGGGGAGGGCAGGCAAGATGAAAAGTCGGTCTTTTATAACCTAATCTCCAAAGTGACATCCATCACTTTTTCCTTATGCTATTACAGACAGAAGTGAGTCACTAGATCCTTCCCACACACAAGGAGAGAGGATTACACAAGGGAGTGAATACCGGGAGTCAGGGATTACTGGGGGGTCCATTTAGAAGCTGCCTACCTACTCTCCAGGGCTTACAATATAGCAGAGAAAGCACTATGTAGTACCTGAGATGCTGACACAATGGCTGCCTATCTATGCAAGTGTGTTAGTCACTCTACATTTGAGACTATGTTCCTGTCAGATTGCTTGTAACACGTTTTAGATTGTCACTGATCTTCAGTGTCTTTTGAGATGCATTCCAGGGAGGTTGCCCTCCTCTCCTCCCACTCCAGAATAATTGCTATAATAATGTAAAATGTAAGCTTAAAGATCTCGCCAAGAGCCATGCTATGTGGTGACCCAAGAGTCCCCATTCTTTTTTGCATCACAGCTAGTTGGAAAATGCAGTATCTTCAGTTCATTTTCCATTGTGTGGTCAAATCTTCATCTAAATACTTCTCTTCATTAAAGTAGGAGACAACTTTATCACGGTGTAAATTATTTGTTTTACTACAGAAACTCAAGTTTCTCAACTTATCTCCCAAGTTTTCCTCATGCTATAAGAAACAAAATAGACCAACTAGCTTATTTTAATCTCTCTGAAAATAACTCAGCGATTTAACAATTAGCACACGAGCTTATAATTACTCGTAGTAAACATGCGATTAATGTATGTATTGGCTTACTCGGCACTTACTGTGCGCACACGTCCCCTCGGGCTGGCGGTCTGGGGCCCCTCGTGTAGTTCCACCCCACACCGCAGGGGGCAGTCGCGGCCCTTCCTCACGCCCGCTTGGCAACCCGGCTCCTGTCTCTGTCAGACCCGACCAAGTCTCTAGGAAGTTGGGGAGGCCATAGAGACGGAGGCCCTGGGCCCAGGCTTCCTTTCTTAAAAGAAGACTGTCGCTTGTGATGCGCTAGTGGAAAGCATATTATAATTCTGTAAACCCTGGCGCGCGGTACGGCGCCAGAAGGCTGCCTGGGCCTGGCTCCAGCGAGACCCCGCATTTTCTCCCCCCCGCGCCGGCGCAGAAGGTGCGGTCCCGTACGCCCGGCCCGACCCGGAAGCCGCCGCGCGCCGCGCTCGCCCGGCGGCCTGGGGATACCCGGCTGTCCCGAGTCCTGGGGCCTGCCGTGTCCTCCTTCCTCGGTCCCCTCTGGCCCATGGGTCTCCATGGCGACGGCGGGGGCCCGGCCGGGGGGTGGGCAGCCCGAGCGGGGCCGCGGCGCTCTGGGGGCCTCCGCGGTGGCGTCGCCGTGTTCGCCGCTGTGGCTGCCGTGTTCACCCTCACGCTGCCCCCCTCGGTGCCGGGGGGCGACTCGGGTAACGTACTCTCAGGGTCGTGCCTCCTGCCCCCCTCCCCTCTGGTCCGCACTGTCCCCACGAGGTCTGGTCAGCTCGATCCCTCCATCCACCCGCCGGGGCTCCCGCAGGGTTTTGCGTTCCGGAACCAACCTGTGTTTCCATTCGTGTAATTTTTCTGTAATTCTGGTCTCTTTAGTTCTCAGGCTTTCGAGACGGGGCTGGTTGGTTTCGCCTGATGGGATTTACCGACCTCTCTCTCCACTTCTCCGATCATTTTCCTGGACCTGAGTTTTTGCTTTCCATTCCTTTTTAGTCCACAAACATTACTTACTGAGTGCTTATCGTGTTCCAGACAAAAAGACTAACAGGAGTGGTGTACAAGTATCTTGGAGAGTGTTGTAGTGCGGGCAGAGACAATACTACTGAATAGCCAGCAACATATTAGGTGGGGAGAATTTAATGGAGACAGTAAGACGGAAATGTGATTGACAGTGGGGTAGGCAGTGGCTCCATCAGAATGGCTAGTTGGGAAAGGCCTCTGAGGAGGTGATATTTTAGTTGAAACCTGAATGTTGAAAAGGAACCAGCCTTGCAGACTATTTGCGGGAGAACGCCTGAAAGGGTGGAAGCCAGTTGCCGCTTAAAGCTGCTTCTATTGAAAAGCGTGACCCGTGGGCCATTTAAATCACATGAATAATCGTTATGTATTTGGGATGAGAGACAAGATGCAGGCTTTGTTTTGCTGCCAAATTGACCATCTAATAATGCCTAATAATGATCCGTAATTTTGTTAGAATGGTGCTGTAAATTTGGGTCATGAATGTATAGACTGAAAAAAAACTGAGTGCCCTAGTTCCTGCATAACAAAATACCCCCAAATTGAGTGGCTTAAAACAAAAAACGTTTACTATTTCACATTTTCTGTTGATCAGGAATCTGGGTGCAGTTTAAGTGGGTGCTTTTAGGACAAGGATGCTGTCGTGGTATGGGGTAGGGCTGCAGTCCTCTCAGGGTTCAGCTTAGCGAGGATTAACTTCTAAACCCCATCCAGCTCTTTGCCAAACGGGTTTCTCTGTAAGCTGACTTTTGTCAAGAGGAAGAGATGGCACCTCTGCCTGACAGCTTTGTCATTTCATAACCTAATCTTGGAAGTGACAGACCACTGCCCTGTTTTCTTCTTGGAAGTGAGTCAATATGTCAGCCCACACTCAAGGGCGAGAGGATTACACAGTGAGAATACTGGAGTTGGGAAGCTTTGGAGGCCGTCTTCAAGGCTGCCTACCACACTGGGGATCCTTGATGTTCCTTTTACACGTCATTACCTTGACTCTTTCTTTCATGTCCTATTGAACAAATAGGAGCAATGTTTCATTAGTGGGGAACGGAGTTACCGTATTCCTAAGGGTTATACTAAATAATAGAAATAGCTTTATAGTTGTGAGAGTTTTGACATTGGAGAGCATTACTCAGAGGCTGAGGAGTTCTGTAACTTTCAAAAAAACATTGACAGTTCTTTACCATGGTTGTTTGAGCCTGAAGGACGGGATTAGGATGAATAATAATAACACTTATTGAGTACTTACTGCGTGCCAGTGCTGTTCCAAGTGCTTTACGTGAATTATTTTAATCCTCCCAGCTACTACCCTGTGAGGTAGGTACTATCAATTTCTTTATTTTATAGATGACAAAACGGTTAAGCTGTGTCCAGAATCACACAGCTAGAAAGTAGAGGCCGTCAAGGAAAGAAACCAAGTAGACTGACTTTAGAACATGCTCTCTCAACCAACCTGTGCTCTAAATTCTTTGTTAAATCTGTCATCACGTATTTAGTGATAAAGTCTATTTAAAATGTACAGTTGTGTTACGGAGCCCAAGCGTGGTCTGCTCACCACATGACAGGCCAATAAATCGAGAGATGTGTTGTTAGAGCAAGGAATAACCACTTGAATCGGAAAGCTAGCAGACCGAGAAGATGGCTGACTAGTGTCTCAAAAAACATCTTCCCTCAATCCAAATTTGAGCTCCTTTTATACAGATGGGGAGGAGGAGGGGCCCACTGCAGTGCCAGCCAATGGCTGAGCGGGGCTGCTATAGCTCACACCTGTCCCGCCCCTATTACAGCTGTTGCCTTGTTTTTATTAATACTGTCTTTTTTCCCCAAAAGAATAAAGTTATCTATTCACTTTGAGTTATCAGACTTTTTAGGCATTGTGACTTGTTTAGTTTGACACTGAATAGTGGTTGCTTCTAGTATTTCTATGTTCATTTTTGGGAGTGATAAACTGTTTTCCAAGTGTTGCCAGTAAAATTGTATAATCATGTCTGATGATTTTGTTTATATGTTGAATGTACTGTTCTCTTTGAATTTTGTGTTTATGAAAAATTTTTTTACCAATAAACAGAACACATCTCAAAACCAACATAAAGCATGTATTCTTCCTGATAAGTCTTAAATTACACTCCATGAATCCATCGCATTGTGTGGCCTTGCCAAAATTTAGTTTTTGCACTGCTTGATACACATAGTTGATGTATGGGCAGGAGCACTCCTGGTCCTGTAGAGGAAAGGGTAGGAATCTAGCCTTCGCTTCTATTTGTTATCCTTGGGAAAAATAAATTAGCTTATATATGTGTTTATATATTTTTAAGATACTGTCTTTAACACACTTGATATATGACAATATAATTTTATAATTAATATAAAAAGTATAATACGGAGGGAGCTGGGTTTTGTAAAGGTGAAGCTTCTGCTAACAACTCTGAGCTTGCCACCCATTTGTGTCCCAGATGAAAAAGCTGTGGTTCTCAAACTTGAATGTACTGGAGAATTGCCTGGGAAACTTGGGCCCCAATGCCAGAGGATTTAGTGTAGGTAGATTTGGGTTATGGTCAAGAAATCTTCATTTTTAAAAGGCATCTGGGTAATTCTGATGCAGGTTGTAGTAGGACTTAACATTTGAGGCAACCCTAGTGTAAAGGGTTGAGGGAAAGCAAGCACCCTTTTATCATATTTACTTTCTCTTTTGTATCATATTCAATTTTAAGAGTCGTGTTTAGCTTTTTATCAAGGGTGCATTCATAGACTTTGAATAGTAGCATCTTTTCTGTTTATATTTTAGTTTCACATTTGATAAGAGTTGGTGATGGAGGTTAGTCACATTCCAGATTCATCTTTTTACCAACAACTCCAGCAAAGAATAACAGCATATTGACTTTTCAATGGTAAAAGGAAATTAGAGAAAATAGGCTATTTTTCTTAATGTTAAATGTAATTCTAAGTACATTTTAAATGGAGGAGAATGAATAGCAACCTTGGAAATCTGAACTGAACTGTGCTTCATAGCACCTACAGAAATATAAAAACCAAAAATTGATTAAAACCATTTGGGACTGAAGACATAAAGAGCAAACCCATTCTAGAGTTCTAAAACTATGAAATACTATAAAATACTGGTAACAGCTACAAAGGGAGGAGTTATTTTAAACATTTTAAAACCATAAACAGTTTATTTATATAAGATACAAGAAGGGCCTTTGGCTTGTAAGATACTCTTGACTATCTCCAGTAAACGTCAAAGATGTCCTTAAGTAAATGACTTAAGTGAGCAGTATCTGTCTTTGGTGCCCTCGGGATTTCTGTGAAGTGAGCAGTCGTTCAAGCTGAGATGGGGGTGTCTTGAGTAGCAAGGATGACAACGTGATAGGTCTTTTTGTCAGTCTCTAGGTGCGGGGCTTTTCTGTGTGGCACGAGGAGGGAGAGGTGCTGATGTCTTGACAGAACCCTGAAATGGATAGGATATTTTCAACTTAGTGGAAAAGACAAATGAGAACAACTAACCAGAATAAAAGGCAATCTAAGTGCTAAATAGAGAGGTTCCAGCAGGTTCTATGGAGGAGGAGGAAGTGATTCATTCTGATGGGTGAAGCTGGGGAAGGGTATGTGTAAGGAAAGGTGTCACTGAGAAGGTAGCAACTGAACTAGGCCTTGATGGATTTAGGAGAGAATGCTGGATGAGAAAATGAGTGGTAAGAGGTGCAAAAGAGGACCATTCAGAGGAACAGTGGGTAGTCAGATCTGACAAAGGTGAGCATAGGTTTCATGGACATAAGCCTTGGAAGGGGACCTGGAAGCCATAGAGGGCTTGCATGTCACGCAGAGGAATCAACTTCATTCAGTACACAGAGAGCAGCCATTGAGCAGTTTTAGTCTAAGGAAACAATCTGACCTCTGGGGAGTGGGGATGGCAGTAATTAGTGATTTCAGTAGGAAGATGAATTGGAATAAAACATTGGTCAAAGCTATCGCTGTAGCCCAGGCCAGAGAGAGGAAGGGTCTAAAATACGGTCAGGGCAGTAGAAATGAAGAGTACTGATACCCACTGAAGGATAGAAAATGGACATTAATACATTTCCCAATAGATAATAGTACTTTCATAAATCATCAATTAATATTGATTGATTTCTTACACTGTACTGTATTAAGTGTATAGGGATAATCAGAAATAGTCCCTGTGCTCTGGATACTTAAAGTATTAACAAATAAGCACTGAATTACTACATCATAATTTTAGAAGTAATTACTAATGGTGAGGAATTACGAAGAACTATGTAAACATTATGATTTATTGGTTTGAAAAAAATGTACTTTGGTAGTCAAAGCTTACCAAAATAACCTGGAGTTAATAAGAATTTGGCAATTGTTTAAAGATATCCAACATAATTAATGTAGAGAATGTATCCAAATGTCAGTTTAGGGCAGAATGGCACATTTTATAGACTGTTCAAATCTCCAGTGTCTGCACATTTTACATATCATAAGGTTGCATCTTTACTGACAGTTTTGTACTAAATTCTTGAGGGATAATACAGCATTTTACACTAATGCTCTGTAAGAGTTTTTTTATATTTGCAAGGAAAGACAACTTTCAGGAGGGAAAGTAGGCATATTTTTAAAATTGAAGGATAGTTGATCTACAATGTTGTGTTAGTTTCTGGTGTACAGCAAAGTGATTCAGTTATACATATTACATATTCTTCGTTATAGGTTATTACAAGATATTGAACATGGTTCCCTATGCTATACAGTAGGACCTTGTTGCTTAAAATAAGCATTTTTAGAAACTAGAATTCACATATATTTACACTGACCAGTTATTAAAAACTAACAAAGATAGTTTGTTCAGTAATACCTAAGGGAGAACATATTCTGAGACTATTTCATGCTGTTAAATCTTCACAGATTTACAGTTTTATCCAGTCAAATTAATGCAAAACCCCAATGCAAGCATTTGGATTTTGAAAACTTTGGAGGAGTGTCATTTTCTAATAGTAATTATTGGTTTTCCATTATTTTTTCACAGGGGAACTGATCACAGCCGCACATGAGCTTGGAGTAAGTATTAGTTTTATTGTTTAATCAATGCTCTCATTAACAGTTTTAGGAATTAAGAAAGTTTAATTAAGCATGGAGTAAAGTAGATTAATTTATTTTCAAACCCCAGTTTTTAGTAACTTATAAGTACAGTACATGACAATTTACTTTAAGTTTTAAATCCAATTAAACTAAATCATAAAGCAAAGCCTTTACTATATATACAGTAGCTGGCTTATTATCACCCCAAATTTTGTATAAGCTATGGAGAATAAAATAAATCGGGTTAACAGTTTTAATAAGTTTATTATTTAATAAACTTTATTGTGGTGCATGATCCCTTTAGGCAAGACCTTAGGACTGTCAGCATGGTGGTAATCCGATAGCAGTGTGGTCTTTCAACTTACTAACCAATACGATATTTCAGAACCCGTTTTTTTTCAATAGCCTTTTAAATGACCCTAATGTACTGTGAACCCAGAGAACAAACTGCTTAAGAACTGACAATGAAATATGTCACCCTTTCTCTAGGTGACACACCATGTGATAGACCCTGCCAAATCCACTAAAGAAAATATTTATTTGTATTGGCACAAGAGGATTACAATAGAAAACCACTATTCAAACATTTAGTCATTGTCTCTTAATCTTTATACTTGCCTGAGAAAAGCGCTGCTTTTCAATTAAAGCCAGTGTGACTCTTCCTTTACTAGATGAAAACCTTCTGACTGTTGCTAATTTTCCCTTAGGTTGCCCATCCTCCTGGCTATCCTTTGTTCACTCTGGTGGCTAAACTGGCAATTATACTATTTCCTTTTGGTTCGGTTGCCTACCGAGTCAATCTTCTGTGTGGCTTATTTGGAGCAGTAGCTGCAGCATTACTTTTTTTCACCGTTTTCAGGTAAAGTAGTTGATTAGTTAATTTTGACTAATTGGAGATGGCCTATGTACATACATTACAAAAAAAAAATCTTTTGTTGCTTGAATGGTTTTTCCTAATCACTCATGTGATTTCACTTTCTCAATTTGCAGTAATTTCATATGCGTTTGACTGCTTAAATGATTACACAGTTGGTTCTGCTTCATACAACGGAGAGAAGGTGTCACCAGTTCATTATCACAGTTCTCTGGTTAGGCAGAACTAATAAGGTTTGTCATTTCAGGAAGATGCAGATGGGCCAGTTTAATTCAACAATATAAAGTTCATCTTTTGGTAAATGGTAAATATCACTTAATTACTCATAGTATTGCTGATGGGCAGCTGCCTATCAGGTCCAGAGCTAATACCTAATTATATTGTATTTTAAATATGCACATGTATACTTTTTGAAATGAGGCTGTTAACTAAGGAAATCAATTTGGGTTGTGGTTTTAGTAAGGTTTCACTTTGTTCCATTATTGCTGTAGGGAAGATAGGCGAATTAGACACCACTTACTTCATGATGGAAGGCTTTCTTAGTTTGGAAGGCTATGCTGCTTTTAAAAAAACAGGTCATTAGTTTAGGATATTGCTAAACACATTTGCCTTTGCTGTTTCTCTCTCCTTCGGTATTAACTCAGTCTAACTTATGCCTAAAAGGATTATAGTCAAAAATACAAATTATTTTTCCTGCAAAGGGGAAACCAAGTTAAAACATTTCTTTCAAAAAGTATTGCAGATTTTATTATAAAAACAAATAATTTTTGTATGTAAATAGAGTATAATTTGAATAGACAATTTCAAATGTCAGTTTTGGAGACTAATGTTTTTATTTACATTTGTCATATCACTGCCCTTTGACTAAATTCTTTGTAAATTCCCTTTTGATTATTTGTAGAAAGGTAAAAGTTACAATAATTATGGCTAAAGCTTACTATTAAATCTATTTGTGGAAAGCTTTCAGATTTAAAGTTGTAATTGTTGATCATTTACTAAACTTTAATCTGTATTATTTAATTTGTTTCTATTTCGGTCTTACAGGTTTTCAGTGATAGCCATATCTTTATGAAATGTTTAAAATAACATTTCTGCTTGGATTAATTAGTGTTATGAATACTTTCTCTTTTTAAATGATTAGAATAATCATTATTAGAATTGTTCCTTCTGATCCTTTATAATTAAGACTGTCATTTTCGCTGAGAGAAAAACTTTTTATTTTTAAATATCTAGGTTGAAATTTAGAACTTACCTGTCTTTTATTAAATGGATGAGTTTTCGCAAGACATTTAAGACAAAGACATTTTAAAGAAAACTAATACTTGTATTTGTTTTGTTAGTTCATCTGTATTTTAGATTATTTCTACAACATATACATATATTTAAATGCTGTAGCCAGCTCTTAAGCAAGTAAAGTGATTCGTTTTCTAAAACTTTCCCATGTTTTCCACTATATTAATTGTCAATGCCCTTCCACATAAAAACCACTGTAAAAATCATATATAAAAATCTTTATCTTTCCAGAATCCGAATAGTTTGCGACAATAATTTTCCTTTGAGTTGTCCACATTTTAAAATAGCTTTGATTAGTTATTATGCTTGATGATAATGGGTTTTAGATTAGCACACAAGCCTGTGACCCTTTTCTTTTAATATACAGTCTTAATGATAAATTTGTATACTTGCTGACATATGTTTTAAATCAAAAACTCTTCATAGAATAAATTGGATATTTGCATGCTTTTAGTAATCTAGTACTTTGGAAAAGTTGCTTTCTTTCTGAAAAGGGACCTGACAACATTATCTCTTACATACTTTTAATATGAAAATACTTCATTATTTTGAATACAAATAATTGACAAGGTACACGTCCTTTGGGAACAACCTAGTTCAAGTGGCAAATCTGTTTTGTCAAACAATAGCCACCCTTCAGGAAAGAGCAAGCCATCTCTATGGTAATAGGACTAACAGTAGCCTATTGATCCAGTGGAAGAAGACATTATACAATGTCAGCTGGCTTGTTACAATTTCATTTGTCGTATGACCTGAACCTAGCCTTTAAAACCTTCCTTCTGTGAATATAAGCCCAAGAGCAGGACGCGGTTTTTGTGCAGCCATTACAGTGACGGCTTTTTTCCTGTCCCAGTGTACAGTAAATGTATTCCTTCACAGGTTGACTCCTTCACCAGAACTCATTCAGGAGACATTTCACTACTTTATTCATTTGCCGACCAAGTCATCATTCCATTTTGTTGTTGAATATTGAAGGGTTTTGATCCAGGAGACAGCTGTATTCTTTCTTTCCCCCATCACTTAAGAGAACATTACTGTACATGTAGGATTAGTGCTGACTGGTGTGCAGGAAATTAATTCTTTTAACAGTTTTAGGTTTTTTTCAGGTAATTGTTCACATAGCATTCACTATATTTAGCTCTTGGGGTGGGTATAAAGACCTTCTGTACCTTTTAAACAAAGATTGTATTTCAAAAGCAAATTTCTGTTTAAATATGTTGGTGTAAAAAGCTCCATTTTTTCAGTAAACATGACTTAGATTGAAAGAACAATTTATTCGTTGTTTCCAATTACTTTGTAATTTTTGCTTTTCTTACATCTTGCTTTTAAAAGCCTTTAAGATGTCATTAACACTGCATATTTTGTCAATCTTTCCTAATGGTTGGCAAGAGCTCTTTTATATTTGCTTTGCCCTGATGTAGAAAGCATATGAGTAAAACAGTACATTGAAAGCTGTGTCACTGTAGTTTATTGAATTAAAAATAGTAAGATTGTGGCAGTTGTTTCTGCATGTATTTATTTATGTATTGTCCCCTTCAGGGGTATTTTAAAGCATGCACTATGTTAAGGGAGTTTAATCTATTTCATTTATAGGAAAGAGTATTCATTTTATTAATATGTACATCTGTGCATTTGACTGTACTACAATTAGTGATTTAGAGAAACTGGGATTTTCTCTTTTAAGGCCAATGAAGTAAATGATTTTTTAGTATGATATTTAAAATGTCATATTTGAAATTCACAGATCCTATTAATATAAAATTTTAAAAGTTATAGGTATGTAAATCACTAATAGGAACATCATTTAGCTTTCCTTAGTACTTGAATTTCAAAATTGTTTTCTAAGAAACCTCAAACTAGATCCTATATACTTAGTAAGGAAGGAGTACTGAAATCACTGTAATTAATATCAACATGCTTACATTTCATATGTTCTGGTAACACTGAAATAGAATGGAGTCTGTTGATAGTATCATATAAAAATTCTTTACTTGAGGGAAGATTTAAATTGCTTATGATCTCAGGTGAGGGCATGTCTTGTATCGTGTATTTTGATAGTTACAGGGCAGGGAATATATTTTCAGCAGGCTTGAGAGTCAGCATATCCTTTTCAAGCTAGTATGGGCCAGATGGAACTATAGAAGAATTCATTGAACAATATTTGTTACACAC